AAGCCTTTAAGTTGGCTGAGGAATTCTGGGAGTTGAAGTCCTCAAGTATTCAAGTTGGCTGAGGAATTCTGGGAGTTGAAGTCCACAAGCCTTCAAATTGGCTGAGGAATTCTGGGAGTTGAAGTCCACAAATCCAAGTTGCCAAGGTTGGAGAGCCCTGGTTTAAGAGGCCTTGGAGCAGGATTTGAATCCGGATCCAGGGGCAAAAACGGGTGAGGCTGAAAGAAGCAGGAATTCTCTGGGTTTCCCCCTTGCCAGCTAAGACACCTCGGAGCAGGATTTGACTCAGGGTCCCGGAAGAAGAAAGGGGAGGCTGAAGCAAGGAGAAACTCCATAGGTTTGCGTTGCTGGCTAAGAGGCAGGAAAGAAGGAAGCAGGATTTGCATTGGGGTCCTAGAGAAGGGGAGGTAGGAAGCGTGACCTCGGAGCAGGATTTGAATCAGGATCCTGAGCAGGAAGGGGTGAGAATGAACCGAGCAAGAACTTTCTAGCTTCATTTTGCCAACGGAGAGATTTTGGTGCAAGATTTGAATCGGGGTCCTGGGGGAAGAAGCGATGAGGTTGAAACAAGCAATGAATCTATGGCTTCCCTATTGCCAGCTAAGAGACTTTGGAGCAGGATTCGCACCTGGATCCAAGGGGTGGGGCAAGGCTGAACTAAGTAGGAGCTCTTCTCTTTTGCCCCGACTTCCTTTGGCAGCTCTCGAACCCAGGTGAAGGCTCCGCTGCTTTTTTTGTGCTTTGGATGGGAACTCCGGTTGCCGACAATCCCCTCACCACCATATGAGCACTCTAAACTTGGTTATGGTTCTATCTTGGTTAGCTTTTCTTGTGGGTTAGCGTATTGTTAGGCCTTCGGGGGTGGTGGTGTGTGATGGAAGGTTTTGTACGTTGTGTAAGTGTAGCTGTTGTTTTTGAGGCGGTGTTTCTTAATCTTGGCAACTTGAAAAAATATTTTTCTTCAAAAAAAAATAACATTTTTAAAAATAAACAATGAACATAATCCTGTGAGGTGAGTTGGGCCAAAAGAGAATGATTGGCTGAAAGTCACCCAACTGGCTTTCATGCCTAAGGCGGGACTAGAACTCACCGTCTCCCGGTGATTGGCTAAAGTCACCCAATCTGCTTTCATGGCTAAGGCAGGACTAGAACTCTCCGTCTCCTGGTGATTGGCTCAAAGTCATCCAGTCTGCTTTCATGGCTAAGGCGGGACTAGAACTCACCGTCCCCTGGTGATTGGCTCAAAGTCACTCAGTCTGCTTTCAAGGCTAAGGCAGGACTAGAACTCACCGTCTCCTGGTGATTGGCTCAAAGTCACTCAGTCTGCTTTCGTGGCTAAGGCAGGACTAGAACTCACCGTCTCCTGGTGATTGGCTCAAAGTCACTCAGTCTGCTTTCAAGGCTAAGGCAGGACTAGAACTCACCATCCCCTGGTGATTGAACTAAAGTCACCCAATCTGCTTTCATGGCTAAGGCGGGACTAGAACTCACCGTCCCCTGGTGATTGGCCCAAAGTCACCCTATCTGCTTTCATGGCTAAGGTGGGACTAGAACTCACCGTCCCCTGGTGATTGAACTAAAGTCACCCAATCTGCTTTCATGGCTAAGGCAGGACTAGAACTCACCGTCCCCTGGTGATTGAACTAAAGTCACCCAATCTGCTTTCATGGCTAAGGTGGGACTAGAACTCACCGTCCCCTGGTGATTGGCTCAAAGTCACTCAGTCTGCTTTCATGGCTAAGGCGGGACTAGAACTCACCGTCCCCTGGTGATTGAACTAAAGTCACCCAATCTGCTTTCATGGCTAAGGCAGGACTAGAACTCAGCGTCTCCTGGTGATGGGCCCAAAGTCACCCTATCTGCTTTCATGCCTAAGGTGGAACTCACCGCCTCTTCTTTCTATCCTGGTACATTTATCACTAGGCCAAATTTAACAACTTTAAGATGAGTGCACTTCAATTCCCAGAATTCCCCATCTAGCTATCCCATCTTATGCTGGCTAGGGAATTCGGAGAGTTGAAGTCCACCCATCTTAAAGTTGCAAAGTTTGAAAAAAAAAAGAAAGTATTTTAGCATGAATTGCTTGGGGTGATATTTTCAGGGTTCCTAACGGGAAAGTATAGTTGGCGCCTGGCTGTAGATTAGACCCAGCAGAATGTGGTTTATAAAGTATCATCGTTCTTCCACAGTGGAATATCGTTTTAATAATTCTAATCACGATAATAGCAAGAAAATGTTGAGGCTCTGGAAAGAGTGCAGAGAAGAGCAACGAAGATATTTAGGGAACTGGAAGCTAAAACATACAAAGAACCGTTGCTGGAATTTTGGTATGTTTAGTTTAATGAAAAGAAGGATCAGGGGTGACATGATAGAAGTCTTCCAATATTTGAGGGGCTGCTCCAAAGAAGAGGGAATCAAATTATTCTCCAAAGCAGGGGTCGCCAACCTTTTGGACCTCGGGGACTACCAAACTCATCATTTTATATCCTGCGGACCAGAGACCCTGGGAAAATCCCCCCCAAAAAGTCTGCAGGAAAATTCCCCACCCCGTTTTCCTACCGATCGATCGTTCTTTATTTGGGATCGCAGGATCCGTTCTCAGGGGGAGAGAGAGAGAGAGGGAGAGGGAGAGACTTTTGGCTCCTTGCAAGGAAAGCAGCAGAAGCCGCAGAAGTCTTTCTTTCTCTCTCCTCAAACTCCGCCAGAAAGGAGTCTTTGCCGGCGCAGCCTCTTGGAGCAGGAGGCCTTGCAGGGTCCCAAAGGCTCATTCCTTGCGTGCAGCCAAAAGCAGAAGAAGAAAGAAGCAGAGACCGCTGCTCCAAAGCACCTGAAGGTAGGACAAGAAGCAATGGATAGAAACTAACCAAGGAGAGAAACAACCCAGAATGAAAAGTCTACGGAGATTCTCCATCATCCAGGTCACGGTTGTCCCACAGGTGCTTTTTCAAGAGGCAACTGGATTTCCTTTGTTTTTCCTTGAAGACGTTTCGCTTCTCATCCAAGAAGCTTCTTCCGCTCACAACGGAAGGAGCTTCTTGGATGAGAACAAAACATCTTCAAGGAAAAACAAAGGAAGTCAGGCTGCCTCTTGAAAAATAGCACCTGTGGGATAACCAAGGAGAGAACCAGTGCAGAATTAAGGAGAAATTTCCTAACAGGTGAGAACAATTGATCAGCGGAACGACTGTCCTCCAGAAGTGGTGGGTGATTCCATCACCGGAGATTTTTAAGAAGAGATTGGACAGCCTTTGGTCTGGAATGGTACAGGCCAGGGTCTCCCTGCTTGAGCAGGGGGTTGGACTAGAAGACCTTGAAGGTCCCTTCTGACTCTGTTATTCTGTTATTCTTGGAATGGAATGGTGTGGAGTGGAGTAGAACAGAACAGAGTATAAAATATAGAGAATAGGATAGAATAGAATTAGAGTAGAATTAGAATAGAATAAGGAATAGAATTAGAATAGAATTAGAATGGAATAGAATAGAAAATGAATAGAATAGAATGGAATGGAATGGAATAATGGAATGAAGGATAGAATAGAATTAGAATTAGAATAGAATAGAATAGAATGGAATGGAATGGAATGAAGGATAGAATAGAATAGAATTAGAATAGAATAGAACTAGAATAGAACTATAATAGAATTAGAATAGAATAGAACAAGAATAGAATTAGAATAGAATAGAATAGAATAGAATAGAATGGAATGAATAATGGAATGAAGGATAGAATAGAATAGTATTAGAATAGAATAGAACTAGAATAGAATAGAACTAGAATAGAATAATGGAATGAAGGATAGAATAGAATCAGAATCAGAATCAGAATCAGAATCAGAATAGAATAGAATAGAATAGAATAGAATAGAATAGAATAGAATAGAATAGAATAACAGGGTTAGAACGGATCTTGGAGGTCTTCTAGTCCAACCCACTGCCCAAGCAGGATGAAACCCTGCATCAGAGGTGGCATTCAGCAGGTTCTGACCAGTTCTGGAGAGCCAGAAGCGGAAATTTTGAGTAGTTCAGAGAACCAGCAAATCCCACCTCTGACTGGAGGTTTTACAGTATCCTTCCCCTGCCACGCCCACCAAGCCACGCCCACAGAAGCGGTAGTTAAAAAAAGTTTGAGTCCCACCGCTGCCCTGGACCATTTCATTGGTTGTCCAAACTCTTCTTAAAAGAGATTCTGAGGTCAGGTTAATTGAGATAAAAGCAGCAAATCTTCCTGTCCCCTATGAATGACTTCAGCCCCGCAATCTGATTCATCCTTGGAAAATTACGGGGAAGACAGTGTGTTCTGCCCATCATCTTTTCCATTA